AAGGGTTTGGTTATCAAACAATGTTGACCCCTCATCTTTGGCACCATCTAAATGAGGAGGAATTGGGGCTTTTGCAGAAATAATGGAACGCTTACAAGAATTCTTCTTCATGACATTGAAAGAGAAGATATGATAAACATCATGGATTCCATTGGTTGAAGGACAAGATTAAGGTTACTATTATTTCATGACCTAGAGCCAGAATTAAGTTTTGGAGCTATTCAGTGTTGAATTCTGAAAAGTCAGTTTATATCTCTAGAGGAAGAATGTCTCGCGACACCCACTCAGAAAATTAGGAACCACCAAAAGAAGGCATGCTAAATCTAAATTTTGCTCGAAGCTCAAGAGGGGAACCCAGTCTGGCTAGAGCAGGTGGTGAAATAAGAGATGATATACATGCTCAAAACCAATATTGTCAGATTCGCTTAGGAGGCTACGTCGGTTTGGCACGAAAAGGGAAGCTTCAGCTCTTCAGCTGATTCAAGTAAGACTTCATTTTACTGAAACAATTTTAAAAATATATAAAAATTTACAAACAATAGAAAATTTAAAAAAATAGTGAAAGAGCCCTGACTAAATTCAGAATATTTTATACATCATCCAAAAGAATAATATTAAAGGATTTTTTATTTTTTTCAAATATTATTATTGAAGAGTTTTCTTTCTTGTTGTTAACAATAAAGAGTAGATTTCATTTATTTATTACATTTGACTAAAATGGGACTTCTATACTTGGGAAGACCTATTCTGAAGGAGGGGTTAAAAAACTAGGGTTTTTAATAGATGCCATGCTTTAAATAAATTCCAAAGGTCGGCGAGTTTATTGTACATGGTGTTCACTAGTGGCAAAAAGTGTGCTCCTGCGAAAGCATACTGTATATGTGTGTATATATATATATATATATATATATATATATATACCACAGATAAAATAATTATTTACGAGAATTTATTGGATCTAAATAAAATTTTGAAATCCACTCTAGTTCTTCAGATTAGTATTTCAATAATAAAAAAGATTTGGAGTTTTTGAAACACTTAGATAACAATCCAAAATTTGGATGGTCTTCATGTAATCTAAAGCAATGAATGAAAATTCGGCCGCCCATTTGCCTAGGTGGAATTTTCGAAAAACAACTAGTCGTGGACTAGGCGCCCGCCTAGGCAATGTAAGAGGCAAGCGCATAGGCGCCGCCTTGACCTACACCAAGAAATAGTATTAATCCATAATTATTAATTTATTGGTAAACAAAAAAATAGTATTAATTCAGTTTTAATTAATATATAAAAGGATTAGACTGTTATGCCACTTGTCGTTTTGCATATAACAGTAATTATTAATTTATTGGTAAACCAAAAAATAATATTAATACGTAATTATTAATTTATTGGTAAATAAAAAAATAGTATTAATTCAATTTTAATTAATATATGGAAGGATTTTGCTATGGCTTAAGACCTAGCAATAGAAAACACTTATTTTAAAAAGAAAGATGAACATTTAATAACCTATAAAAGTGGATCACATAAAAGCCAAATAGACTTCTTCCTAGTTAAGAAGGTAGATCGACCATCATGTAAAGACTGCACGGTTATCCCATGAGAGAGTTTGACTACCCAACATAGGCTCGTGGTTATGGAAATCTGCTTAAAGACATGGAAAAGAAGGGGTGAAAGTAATGGGTGTCTAAGAACTAGGTGGTGGAATTTAAAATATCAGAAAATAGACTAATTTAAAAATAAATTAGTTGAAGAAGGAAAATGGAACTCTGAACATGATGTCAATGTAATTTAGAATGAGATGGCTGACTGCATCAAGAATGTAGCAAAATAAGTTTTAGGAGAATCTAGAGGAAAAAGAAATTCTGATAAGGAAACTTAGTGGTGGAGTGATGAAGTCAGAAGGCCATTAGCGAAAAATGATCATGTTATAAAAGTTGGCAGTGGAATAGAAACAATCAAAACTTAGAAGAACATAAAAATGCTACGAAAAACGCTAAACAAATAGTAAGTAAAGCGAAAATTAAGGCATATGATAATCTATACAATAAATTGGGAACGATGGAAGCTGAAAAAGAAGTTTTCAAATTAGCAAAAATAAGAGAGAAAAAGTGTAGGGATCTAACCCATATTAAATGCATTAAGAATGAAAATCAAAGGGTCTTGGTAAAGGATGACGAGGTCAACAAAAGGTGGAGAGTTTATTTTTAAAAATTATTAAAAGGCGAACACAATGAGAACACAGCGATAGAAGGAACAATTGGAATAAATGAGGGGGGAGATCATAGATACATTCGTAGGATTAGGATGTCAGAAGTGAAAGAAGCTTTGAAAAGGATGAAGATATGAAAAGCTTTAGAACCAGATGGTATCCCGATAGAGGTTCAGAAGTGCATGGGGGAGATTGGCATTGGCTGACTGACGAAGCTATTCAACAATGTGCTGAGAACAAAGAAAATGTCAGACGAATGGAGGAAAAGTATTGTGGTACCTATTTACAAGAATACAGAATTGTGCGAACTATCGAAGGATCAAGCTTATGAGTCATACTATGAAGCTCTGAAAGAGAGTGATTGAGCAATGACTAAAGCATGAAACAATTGTCTCTGAAAACCAATTTGGTTTTATGCCAGAAAGGTCAACAACCGAGGCTATTTTCCTACTTATGCAACTAATTGAGAAGTTTAAGGCGAAGGGAAAACACCTCCACATGGTCTTTATTGACTTAGAGAAAACTTATGATGGAGTGCCTCGAGATTTGGTTTGGAGGGTGTTGGAAAAGAAAGGAGTCTTGGTGAAAGATATGTACGATAGAGCGCTAACTAGTGTGCGAACAACTAGTGGAGAGACGAGTGAGTTTTCAATTACAATAGGTCTACATCAAGGGTCAGCATTGAGCCCGTACCTCTTTGTCTTAGTCGACGACTTAACTAGGCACCTGCAGGATGAGGTATTGTGGTGCATGTTGTTCGCAGATGACATAGTTTTGATCGATGAGACCCGAAACAGCGTCAACGCAAAATTAGAACTTTAGAAGGATGCTCTAAAATCCAAAGGTTTTAAATTAGCCAGACTAAGACAGAGTATATGGAATGCAAGTTTAGTAGTAATAGGAGTAGAGACGAGGAAGTAGTAAAGATTGACAGCCAGAAAGTACCAAAAAAACCACACTTTCGATTCCTTGGGTCAATAATCCAGAAAAATGGAGAGATTGAGTAAGATGTCACACATAAAATTAGAGCTGGTGAGAGAAGTGGAGATGTGCAATTGGAGCTTTATGTGATCGCCGCATACCAAGAAAGCTGAAGGGTAAGTTCTAGAGTACAGTTGTGACACCAGCTTTGCTTTATGGGGCAAAATGTTGGGCGGACAAAAAACAATATGCACATAAAATGAATGTTTAAGTGCGGCACCAATAGGAGATGAGGTGCTGCGATGGATGAGTGGCAAGACAAGAAGGGATAGAATCCGAAATAATTCCATTCGGGAAAGTTTAAGTACGGCACCAATAGGCAATAAGATGAGAGAGAGTAGACTTAGGTGGGCTGACCATGTGTGGTGTTGACCCAGTACAGTGCCTGTTAGGAGGTGCAAGTTAGTTCAAGTGAAACGATTGAAAAGGCCAAGGGGTAGACCCAAAAGAACGTGGTTGGAAGTAGTCCTAAAAAATATGGAAACTTATGGCCTCACAAAAGGTATGGCCTTAAATAGAGCAGAATGGTCAGGATTCGTGTAGCTGATCCCAATTATTGGGGAAAGGCTATAATGATGATGATATGGAAGGATTAGACTTTTTATGCCACTTGTCATTTTGCATGTAACAGTTTTTATTAATTTAATGATAAACTAAAAAATAGTATTAATCCATAATTATTAATTTATCGACAATGCTTTCTGCATGTAATAGTAATTATTAATTTATTGATAAACCAAAAATAGTATTAATTCGTACTTATTATTATTATATAGTATATACAATAAAATGGGGGAAGGTGTGGGGGATCCAAATTTTATAAAAAAACAAGACATACCGCCTTCGAATCTGGGCGCCTGCCTAGGCGGACCAAAGCCCAAACAGCCTAGGCGGCTGCCTACGCCTTTTTGAACATAGATCTAAAGAAACTATTATTTCTCAGGACAAAAAATGTCCATGACTTTTTTTTTCCTTTCAAGGTTGGTTGGTTTCAAGGTTGGGAGACTGTCCCCGAAATTTGTCATCCTAGAAACACTAATAAATTAGGTTTCACCCAAGGAACCATACACCCTCAAGACTACAACCTTATGACAAACAATGCAATAAAGGAAATGAGGCTTCGATTCGCTTTGGCTTGGGTCAAAAACCCAAAATCTTCAGCAACTTTGGCCGAAGTGACGTGTAACAACACTCGAAACCACTATTGAGATGTGATTTCACTGAGACAAAAGCACAAGCTCTCCTTAGAGGTTTCTAGAGCAGCGCCCAAGTTGGAAGAGCATACAAATTGGAGGTGATTTATTAAACACAATAGCATAGTTCAGTAGTAGATCAGTATGTCCAAGGAGTCTTATTACAATAAATTCAAGGGCCTCCTTCCCTTATTCGTAGAGGGAATCCAATGAGATTCAAACACACTAGCAAAAGATGGAATTTCTAAGACATGCGTAGAAATAGAACAAAGAAGGATTCACTTTTGTACGGGATATATATCATATATTACATTCAGATGAATGAATGAAGTCAAGTCAACAATAAAAATCCATAGACAAACAAGTACGAAACAATAGGGTAACATTACTAATCAAAACCTAAGAGAGAAGCATCACATTATATAGACATCAAAACTCAAACTCAGCTGCATATAACCATAATCATAGGACAACCAGATCTGTGTGGAAAATGATAAAGTACATCTGAGCCATTCAAATTTACATAAAAAACAAATACGCCAGATGAATAGAGGAAGAGAACATCATAAACAAGATGTCTATAGTATATATAATTTCCCTATGTACAAATATACCTTCAAGACATGTAGGGCAAACATCTTCATCATCTGAAGAGGAAAGCACATATGCTACACCTGCCACTTTCATCAATTGTTGCTTCTTAGAAGACTCAGAACGGCCAATTTTAGATTGCCCCTCATAGTCTGCTCCATTCCATTTTTCTCCAGTGCTCAAAGATTCAATACCCTGATTACTGCTACTTCTTCTAAGTGGTTCAGTTTCTTCATGGAAATGGCTTGAAGCCTTTTCACGCCTTGAGACCAACCCATCCCTTTGTAACCGAGCATATCTAGGATCAGCATCATAAGGTAAAGGCCTTGGAGGAGGATGGTACATATCAGATAAAGAGTTGTCAAGTGAAGATGTGACTAGTCCAGTTGAAGTCATAGGATTTGCGCTTTGGATGGGGGCAGAGACTGCTCGAGCCTCAACTCTATGGAACAATGAAGTGTACTGCAAAGAAAATCAAGGGGGAGATAAAAATGAGGCATTACTCTGCAAATTTGGTAGCAAAGTACTTCAGAACAAAGTAGCAATCAATTGTCAATTAGATGCAATCCCTGCATAAACAACAGTAACACTTTGTAACAGGTAAACTAAATTCATCAAAATACCAAAGTCCAACTACAAGTAAAACTCTTCTCCAAATAGCAAGTTGCAGTAGGAAACTTAGCTCTAATGTACAACTGAAGGCACAAATTTGTATGATTAGTAAGTGTCAAAGAAAATTGTGCTCACATAATCCCCATCATTATAGAAAAAAAAAACAATTCTTATAGGTTACTATAAAGAGCAACATCTTAGAAATGTTCTTTTTTAACATATCTTTTGTAACACATTTTCTTTTAGCGACCCCAAATAGCTAGGATAAGGCTTGGATAACGATGAGGAACAGATCTTAATCTTGAGTAAATATCACAAAGATTTCACCCGTATGGGATTAAGGCCTGCCACATAAGTTTCTCTTGATGATCACCAATAACTTAAAATGATAGAAATAGAAACATCACCTCATACTCACAATCACAATACTTGTCAATAGATTCAGACCGCATAAGAAATTCAACAAAGACTCAAAGGACTCCTCCTCCCTTTGATAGCTAGAACACACCCAAACGCCTATCTCCCACTCGTCACTATTCCAAACAACCACAGAATCTTAAGTAAATTCGATATCTCCATGATCCCAAAAATTAGCTCAACTCCCGACCTGCATTCACTTTCTAAATTCAAGCTCAGCCCTATCCCCTCGCTCCACATGCCTCTGAAAAACTAGAATCTCTGCTTCATTTGCTTATCTAACCCCAAGAAAAAGAAAAGCACACTATATTGAGTCTCATAAGGAATATGAGTATGATTTTCATGTGGGTAAGAAGAGACAGAAGTGCCCATGTTGGTTTTTTCCCTCTCTCAAGCTAGAAATCACAGCTTTGTGATTTTTACGTTCGTAGATCTTTCGTCCTAATGATCATTAAATATTTAAGAAGATCTATTGCATTGATTCAAAAAGTGGTCCACTCAACGCTTAGGCGGGCTAGGGGGGCCTGGCCGCACCGCCCAGGTCTGGGCTGACCAACTAGGCAGGCTACCCCTGGGTGCTCTCTTAAACCTAGGCAGGCTCCCAAGCTACCTGGGCGGGAGCCCAGCGGACTGCGCCCGCCTAGGTGCAAAAATACCCATCAGGTGGGCAATTTTTGGTGTTTTCTTTTGTTTGGATTATAAAAAATGCATGAATATGCATTCATGCATTTTTTATACAAAATCTAGACCTAAAACAGGATTACTGGACACCTTGCTACCTTTTGAACCTAGGCTGCCCAGGTTCTCGGTGGCTGCCTAGGTGCCACCCGGCATTTTTTGGAACACTGATATATTGATTGTGTCACTCTTTATACCTTATAGACAGATTCACACCCTTGCTTCTTACCAACCAACAATAATAGCCAACCATAGGCCACTAAAAACTATAAGAATTAATTCTATTGTGGTAGTGCATAAAGATAGTATACCTAGTTAAGAATCTTCTAACAAGTATTCAAACAATGAGATATGTAACTCTCTATTGTACTCCATACAGTCATTTAACTGAAAGACTTTCAAACCAATGAGGGTCTATTCCAAATGCCTTATCATCAAGGGGATAATACAACAATCAAGAAGTACCACACACTCGTTATGTCGTCTTGACAGAGAAACAACATAGCTACCAGAGACATCATATGTATCTGAAACGATCAAAGTAATGAACCATGATTTATTCATAGGCATACTTTATTTTGTATGGATTTCGTTGTTGTTTGGCACTTGAATACAGTTGCCATATCAAATTTGTCCAGTACTTCAAACCAGATGAAAAATAAGAAACATTTAATATTGAGCCATGTCCATGACCCTTTGGGGGTCATAGTTTCCAATATAAAAGCTTTAGTGCTTAAAATGAACCTGAAAAGAATAGCTTCCTAGTTAAAACATTTAACATATTATGGAGAACAAGGGAGCATCAGATCATGCAAGGGCACGGTAGTCCTTGAATATTAACAGCAATGCACTATATGTGAATATGCCAAGTGTAGCCAAAACAAAAAAAAACAAAAAAACATTGATATCATGTTTTGTTTCTTTTTTGAATATGAACATTGACATCATGTATTTAAACAAGGAAAATTGTTTCACGGGGGCTGGACAGCATTTCTACGATATGCGGTCCAGAGGTGTAAAGCATCCATCTTAAAAATGGATGCAAATAAGTGGTTCATCTAAAAACAATTGTAACTAATGGTCCAGATTTTTTCTTAATATGATTATTATTTCTAGTTTTCAAAAAAAAAATAAAAAAAATCATATTCATGATCTCCATGTTAAAAGATTATATATTCTCTAAAAATTAGGATCAAATTATATTTTAAAAATATATTTATTGCAAAGCCCGCATTTCTACAATATGCAGGCTGGCCGCATAGAAACCGTGTCCTTTAAACAATTACTCACTCAATAACATGATGTCAATAAATTAAATAATACACAAACATTTCAATAAATAAAATATACAAACAATTTTCGTTCAAGAAACACACATACTAATCCAAAACTACCGATGAAGGTAATAATAACAATAAATAAACAAAATCAGGTATAAGAATTGCTTTTCTGCAGTACATACAGCACATAAAAGCTGGTGAATGAAGCATCTCAGGCAGATACAATGTCGATGCCCAGAGCCATTAGAATAAGTGTGTTCCTCAAAATCCTCAATGCGTAAACAGCAACACACAGCACCCATTGTGGAGATTCTGAGATGTAGCTTCACGGAGCACTATAATGCACAAAAAACCAATCGTTTCTAAATTTCTGGGTATATAAATCCACCAAAAAACGCCTCTTACCCCTCTCAAATACTATGAGAGGGTAGATAATGCTCTTGAACTTGTAAGCAAGCACAATTACTCTCTCGCTTATTGCTCAATTGACTAGAACTCTCTCTCTCCAATTATTCAGCAAATCCTCGCCATAGTTAGTCACATAAATCACAATAAATCAATCATAAATTGGATGGCCTCAATATCAGCAAGTACTCTTCACAGCTAGCGGGCACATAGTCTATTCCTCAAGTTATTTAATCTCATATAATTCATCCCCCCATGTTTTACCTGCAAATGAGAAAACACCTAAAAAATGAATATTAATAAAGTAATTTGCCAATTTTACCCAGACTATTTTAACCGAATCAGGAAACCAAAAATAAAAAAAATCTATACAACTCTTCAACCGACAGACCAATTTTCCACCAGAATTCATGCAAAATAAGAACGATCGTAGATTTGATGAAACAAAATGCCTGTTACCTCAAATTGCCTCCAAAGAAGAAAAATTCTCCCTTTATTAAGACAATATTTAACAAAAATATGTAAATAATAATCAGCAATACACTTCGACATTTGTTTTTTAAGAAGCTGTATCATTTTTTTAAAAAAGAAATACCGAATAATTCACAAAAACAAATAGATACGAGGAAAATAAGAAAAAAAACATATTTGGGGCTTAAACATCTACAGAATCAGCTCCAAATTACAAAGTAATCCACCATTAATCAAAACAAATCTTACACATAAACCAATTAAATGGCAAACATAAGAGAAGGAATGCATTAAAAGCATATGAATGAAAAAAAATGAGAAGAAAAATAAAAGGGAATATTGATGAAGTGAGAAGAGGGGGCCATACCTCGTTAGAAGAAGATCATGACTCAAATAGGCTTGAACAATGAAAAACCCAATATTCTTTTGTTAGGTTTTTATGAAGAGCATTGGGCTTTTCACCAATTCAGCCGATTCGGAATGGAGAGGGAGGGAGAAACTGTGTAAGAAACGCTGCTGTTTTGGGGCAGCTTCCCAAATGAAGAAGGGCAGGGAATAAAGGAATTATATGGGGAGGGTTGAATTCTTTTTTTTTTCATTTTTCTGTTTGCTTGTGAATAAAATACAGCTAGTTCCCAATTTTCACAATCTCTCAAGACAAACAAGCTTCTCTCTCTAGCTTCTTCATTGCCCTTAATCTCTCTCTATTTTAAGCAACTAACCTTTCTCTCTCTCCCTTCTACATTGCTTTCTCTCTCCTCTCTCTCTATCTTTCAAGCAACCAGCCTTTCTCTCTCTATCTTCTACAAGATAATATGGGATACTGCCCCTGAGTGCTCAAAATCTCTTTGGACTTCCAATTTTGTCCCTCCACTACCACTCCTTTGAAGTTCAGATATGAGGCTCTTCAGATTTAGCTTGGACCGATGCCTTTACAATGCTTTCAATTTTGACACAATTCTGACTTTAGGAAAAGGAGCTAAGAATCTATAGAGACATTGGAGAAGAGACAAATAGAGAGAGAAACTTATTTTTCTATCTCCCCTGGGTCCCTTAGGGTTTTCAGCCCGGCAACCCATTTTTTCCAACGCTTGGGGTTCCTTTCAAATTTTTCAGCCTGAAAGAATATCTTTTCCTTTTCTTTTTAGTTTGGAAGAAGATGAAGAAGAAAGATGATACAAAGAAGAGGATGAAGAAGGAGGATAAGAAGAAGAGTCAATTGTGTTTTTATCCTTTTTGTGGCACTAAGTCTTAGAAATAGATAAAAACTCGATCATCCTTCTTTCAGGTGGTAGGGAAGTTCTAATATTGGTTATCTTTGGATTTTCCTTGCGCCTGATTGGTATCCAACACTTCCTTGACTTGCTGAATTCCTATTGAGGTTTTCCTAATTGCTTCACTTGGACCATGTTCTTCAAACTCAAAGTCACTCTCAGCTTCCAATAACTTTGATCTCTTGCTGGGTTAGCTAAACTCATTTTCTTTTTTGCTTTTCGACTCCTTAGGTTGTCAATACCATGGCGTAAGATGCATAAGCAGAGTAGAGATGCCCCACTTTTCTTATTTGAGAGGGAGGAGCAAGTGATCTCCCTACTCCTTTTCGGTAATATTTTTCATTTGCAACCTCATGTTGCTCTTCGGGAGTTGATGACCTCGAGCACATTGGGAGTCGTTGGATAAGGTGTTGGCCTCACCGATTGCCCCAACTATATTAAAATTATCAAATGAAGGTGTCCCTATCAAGTAGTTTATTGGGACTGACCCTATAGAGTTTCCTTCATTAGATGAGACTGCCCTTATCAATATGTTGGATGGGATTACCTCAATTATATTTTCATTAGTGGCTGAGACAACCTTATTGAGATATCAGATGGGACAAGCTCTATAGTATTTTCAATAGATGGGGCTATCCCTATCCAGCAAGTAGATGGGATCGCCTCTTCTAGATCTTCTTTTTCCTCATGAATATGGGTTGCCCCAATTAGTGGATTCATGCCCCTACCCCTATTTTCTTCTAGGGGTTTTTTATCCCAAATATGCGGACCATTCAGAAAGTTTTGTGAGAGCAATCCAGATGGTCCCCTTAAAATTTCTAAGGGTTCAATTTCTCCAAAATCTTGTAGAGATCTTGATTCTTCAAGAATGGTCAAATCTGGGTCCTTCGCTTCTTTTGTATTAATTGTTGGATCAACCTTAAAAGCTAGTATGATTAACTCCTCTAGACTCAGCTCTTTGGCCCAAATAGGTGGATCATCAAGAAAATCTAGTGAGGGTGGCTCAAGTGGTCCCCTTAGGATCTCCAAAGATTTAAGTTCTTCCACAAACCTTTGAGGAGATAAGTCTCTTTCTGAACTTGAATATTTTTCACCTTGGTCTTCTCTTATTAATGTCTTCTAATTTGCTTCACATGGGATTAATTGCTCATTTACTTCTTCAAAAAATGGAGTTTCTTTGTGATACAGTGTCTCAAGTCCAAGGCATTTCCCATTACTGCATTCTTAGGAATCTCTAACCTTGGGATCTCGATTGGTCTTCCAAGGCATTTCCCATTACTGCATTCTTAGGAATCTCTAACCTTGGGATCTCGATTGGTCTCATGGATGACTTGAACATCCTGTGGGTCACCCACTGCACTTATTTAAAAGATGGGATTAATTGGGTCCTTTTCTTTTATTGTGACATGTATTATAAGGATGTCTTGAACTTTATGATAGCTCGTATCTTCAACTAGAATTGAGATTCTTCTAGAATAACTTTGTTTTTCTTGTTTCAAAACTTGGGATAGCGTTATTTTCATCATTATGAATTCGAGAATCCCAAGCCATAAGATTTGAATTATATGATATTTCCCTACTATCAAGGAAGGGTGTCTTGAGCCTCCTACAAGTCAAGGCAATCTTTAGCACTTTGTTTTTTAAATTCCCTAGACACAGGATTTTGAGTGAGCTCATGCTCATTCGGTACCTTTTCTATGGGATGAATAATTTGGTCCCTATGTGTCTTCATGTTCACAGCTTTTAATGGGAAGACTAGAATTGTTTCCTCCTTTTGGTGACCAACATTATTCAGCTTTGATCCTTGGAGGATATCCACACCAGTTTTAGTTGTAGAGGCAGTATGCTCCTTTTGTGGGTTGGACCTTTCTAATTCTATAGGATCTACCCATAGAATAGATTTAGAGCTAAGGCAATTTCCATCATCTGATTTCTAAAATTCCCTAGCAACATAGGTCATCTTATCATTTCGTTCTTCATTTTTGGGTGGGTTTCTTCCTATGCCCAAAGGCCATATGTTATGGTCTTAGGCTTGGGTAAGGATCTTGACTCGTCAATCCTTGTCAGATTGATATCGGCTAAGATTTCTTTATCTTCACTTGGCATAGTTGTATCATATGATATCTTCTGACTTTGCCATGAGTGAACTCCATCTGTATCTCTAAGTGATTCTGAGGATGCCTCTGACTCAGGATTGGTTTCACATTCTTTAATTGTCACCTCATTAGAGTCGCATTCAGATGCATCCTCACTGTAGCTAGGCTCTTGCTCCGTCATGACACTTGCCTTAGTATAATTTCGTCGGGCTCTTCCCCTAGTATGACTGGTGACTGATCTCAGCCCCTTCCTTTGCTCTCTCATAATGCGAAACCATTTTGAACATTGAGTCAAAAGAAAAAGGCTAAATGCTTTTACTAAAGTAAAGCATATATTCATGAGGCACATTCTCTATGGCCATGTTGATCTTAGAGACCTCAAAAAGCGTGCAATTAATGACTTTTGATACAGCCTCTCTAAATCTATGGACGAAGTTCGCTAAGATTTTGTCGGGTGGCAACCAATTCGCTAAGGTCATTAGTTACTCTCTGGTCCCGCAATACTGCTTGACAAAACATCAAAACAATTCATCGGGATGTTGATCAAGGTATTTAGTTACGACCACTCATAACCAAGTTAGAGGTTGTCCTGAGAGGGTATACTGAAAACGTCACGTTGAGTCAGCAAGGTCTATTTTCAAGATGCGGAATAGATAGAAGGTAAGCGATGACATGGTTATCAGCGTCACCCTTCCCACTAAACGTGTTTTCAAATTGGGGGAATACGAAACCCTATAAGAAGGGTTCAACATCTCTAAGGTGGGAGTATGTTAGGAACTCTAATCTTAGCTAAAGTTTCTTTGAAGTTGGAGAAATCACCTTTCAATTGGGTAGCTCAGCTAACTCGGGCGTCTTAGCCTCGATGTGTTGGTTGCCTAAAATTGATGGCATAGTTTGAGGTGCAACAGATATAAGGTAAGCGATGACATGGTTATCAGGGTTACCCTTCCCACTAAACGTGTTTTTCAAATTGGGGGAATTTGAAACAAGATAAGAGGGGTTCAACATCTCTAAGGTGGGAGTATGCTAGGGGCTCCAATCTTAGCTAAAGTTTATTTGAAGTTGGAGAATTTGCCTTTCAATTGGGCAAGCTCAGCTAAATCATGCATCTTAGCCTCGGTGTGGTGGTTGCCTAAAATTGATGGCATAGCTTGAGGTTCAGGAGAGGCAGCTAGTGTGGCTTGCACTAACCCAGCTGGGGGCAGGGAATCACCAATGGCGCAGATGCCATTGATAATGGCATCAGGGACTGCAACCAGTCATCTCACAAACAAAATCCAAGAAATCAGGGTATAGCCCCATCAATCTGGAAGGATATTTTCTCGTAAAAAAGGATGATTTTCTTGGGTTAAACGTCATCAGGATGACCAAAATACCCTTCATGGTTTGAAAGTAGTCTGACTGGCACTGGAGCCATTGGCAATGGAACCAAAGCCCAAATACCTGCAAGACCACCCAGATCCAACTCGGATGGATGCCGGCCTCACGATTAACAAAATTAGCGGCTTAAGCTCATTAATCGATGTCCCCAATAGGATTTTGTCAATGCTTATTCGGGGTAGCTATTCAACACACAATTGTCCATTACTGCATGACATTAAATTGCTCGGTCACATCCACCATTGTAAGACATGAAACTACTCGGTTGGCTCCTTGGTTACATGATCCTAAACTTTGTGACCACCGTCGTTCTTAAAAACCATTTTCAAAAATGCCCCATGATGGCAGAAAGCTCCCCCCTCTTTCAAATAACCTGAATACTGGGGCAACTTGGTTTGGGAATTCCATAAATTTTTCTATTTTGTTTGTCATGTCAAAAACCTTAATTTATATGGTTCAAGTTGTAACCTGTCATCAATATTTGTTTGAAAAATCTACTCCCTTCTGAATTCAAAACATTCTCCTAAATATTTTTTGGAAAACAAAGAAGTCAAAACGGCACGATAATGATGATCAGAAAGCACATATGGTCGTTCGGTTCAAAGGGTAAAGACCACGGCAGGTGAATACTACATTCCCCCTCTTCTCCATCAAACCCAAAAAACAAAAAGAAAAACACCCAATTCTCAAACCATCACAGCCTTAAAGCTTAGGAATACACCTAGGGCATGAGGTCAACTTTGGCTCACTCAATAGAGATTACTTCATCATTCTCATCTGAATATTTAAACTCGAATTTTCTCGGGATACTAGGACACTGGCATTCAACCTACAAACCAAGGGCTATTATCTGCGACTTCCCCGAACGATGGACTAGCTAACCGCCAGGTCCCTCGTGTGACCAACAGGAACCATGTGCTTTACGAGGCCAAGCTTCAGAG